TATCTCTATATTAAATTTCACTTTAATGCAGCATTCTTAACTTAATTAAGATAGGAGAGTTTAGTTTTCCCCTATTGAACTATGATAACCTCAATGTGGCAAAAAAATGACTTACAGATTTATTTTGGAGACCATCGTTCTCAGGTTCTTTACTAGAATATTATATAAGCTGTTAAGAATCCATGAACCATATTCTCACGCTTAATTGACTAGATTGCCTATAGTTCCTTACTACTAATATCATGCTTTATTAATTAATCTTGAAAATATTTGAAGCTGTTGATTGCTAATGCATATTAGTTTAGATGGATATCATAACACTCCAATCAATTCAAAATCTATGGTTATTGGAGCTCCTTGCTGTTCCTTCTAATTATTTGACTCTGATCCTACTGAATATACACCATTCCTCAGAGTTACTACTTTCTAACTGAATTACAAATGTGCTGATGTTATAAGTCTCAATCTTATATACAAGACTGAATTAATCTTTATTTTAGTTGGAAAATTCATTTTATTGCAAACTAACACTAATTGCATTCTTAAATGACCTACATTTATCTCAATGCAAACAATTAGTATACATCATCATTTGTTGCCTGTGATTATTCTTCATGTACAACAGCCGCTGTTTTTTATATGAATGACTAAATAAAAGTAACTCATTTTAATCTTTTAGGTTTGAGATACTTAAGCAATATCAATGCACTCATACTTATCAACAGTATTGTTTATTGCAACTATAGTTAGCTCGCATAATCTATTTTTCATAAGCTGCTTTGTTGACAATTAATAATGGTATCAAATAGGAGTTCAAATTTAACAAGTTACTTTGACACGCTGACATCCTTGTTCACATTATTCTATTAATGATAACTCAAATTATAGGTGCCACTTTCCTGTTATTTTGTAAATCATATAAGCCAAGAAAGTGGGCATCTGTTTCAACATTGAGTGATAGTAAGCTACAAGCTGGAATCTTGCACACATCCAAAATTTGTGATTTGCGATTCAATTTGCAGCCAAATAATTCATACTTTATATATCTGCATGCAGAATGATCTACTAGTTTGAAATGCTTAGTTAACAACTATTGAACCCATTTTATTGCAGTTATTGCAATCATTTTTGTAGGTCTTTAGGCAAAACTCCACATTGAGTAAATTATGAGCTGACATATCTCATCTATGCACATAGAACACTCTAATTCTTACTTAATATGTAGATCTTCTGCATCTAATATGCTCAAAATAGTAAAAAATGAATCATATTTGTGATTCTATTATCAACGTCTTGATGATGACAATGTAGCTGTATCTTGTGTACAAGCGACACTACAAACTTATGTACTCATATTACCAAGGCTAATGCTAACTATTCTAATAAATGTGAAAATATCTGCATTGATAAATGTCCTTCTGTTTTGGTTGATTGTATTTACATGGGGCATCACCTGTTTATTGAATTTTATATTGAGACAATATTCTAACTAGATGCTTCAAAGGATATCTCATTAAAATAGTGCTCGTATAGAATGAATTTATTTAGGAATGTCCTCACTATGCAAACAAATTCGAAATAAGCTTACTTGTTTCTTGAGTGAGTTGTAAATAAAACTGTGCATTGCGCTCTGGATGTGAAAAATACAATATCATCAGGACACAACACACTAATGCAACAGGACAAAGTACTCAAGTAAAATTGTTACAATCTTTGTTGAGGAGGATGCTTTTGATTAATAAAGACACGCTATAATACAATTTTCTAAATGATTTAGACATGAATAAACTATTAACACAAGCTAAACAATTACTAGCAGCCACCATGCATTTTATGCAAGGAATATAATATTAGGAAAGATTTGGAAACAATTGCTGCAAATTATCAAACCTGATTAATTAATGTTTGACTTTACGAAATTCTTCAGTCATCATTTATATGATAGATGTTGAGCTGTTATTTAGAGCAATTAAAGCAACAACCATGTTCAAAGATTGCTAAATTGCGAATCTAAAACTTTGTCTCTAAAAAATTTTAGTCTTTGGAGATTTAATATTTTGTACATTAAGCATACACCCTTGAATTAAATTTCTATTGCTACTAGTACTCTATTTTTAGGATGATGCTTACTACTTAAATAGAGCCAGCTTAACCGGTATCTAAGAAAAAACTTTATCGTTCATTAAAGATTGCCCCAACTGTATTGAATATTCAATGGTGTGATGTAAATTTACAACCATTCTAGCCCTTTAGTATTCTTTCTTTATATGATAAAATTACCCAG